TTTGCATCTAAAAATCCTGCTACCTAAAAACCCGGTGGGAAGACAACCCCTCCCCAACCTCCATTTATGTCTGCACTTCTGCTCAAGGAAGCGGACAGCCACCACGTGCTGGCCTCCCAGGGCCACACTGGCCCAAGTGCGGGGAAGGCATAGAGCTCTGCAACCCTGTTCCCCCAGCACCTGCCAAGTGGAATGTGCTAGAAAGTGGGTGGGGGCAGCGGTGGGGAGCAGTGGCCAAGGTTGCTCTGGCCGTCCTGGCTTCTGTTAAAGAGGGATCTATCTGGGGAGCCTCCCTTTGGGGCCACCTGTAGAAATACCTCTCTTGGTTGGAGCGTTAGCACCCTGCTGGTATGGATGTCTGCAAGTAAGAGTGAAATACACATTTGCACAGGTAAAGAAAAAATGGATCTATTAAACGATTTTTAATTTAATGGGTCAACTGCCCTGTTGACAAGAGAGGCCACGGTCATGCTCCGCTCCAGCCAGGACCCAGCAGTAGGGTGGTCCTGTGGACTCCAGGCTTGGGGAGACGTGGCTTTACCACATAGGCCCCGATGCTCTGTGGGAACTTTGAGGAAAATTATTTTTGGAAGAGGTCTCTCATCTTACCAGCCCTGGTTTTTCCTCAGGGTTGGGGCCCTGTGCTAGGTGACAAGTCCTAGGGTGCACTGGGGGGAACTACCACCAGAGAGCTGGAGCAGGAGAGGCAGAGTTCTGGAACAGACGGACAGAAGTGTCCTATGGCTGTGAGCTGTCCCCATGGGAACCCTCTGTGGGGCACAAGTTGTGGTGAGGAAGTCTGTCCAGCGCTGGCTTCAGGGGAAGTTGGCCTGGTGACAAGGCAAGGCGCGGTGAAGAGGAGCCAGGTAATGCTCCACTGACTGCCTCCCCTCTGTTGAGGATGTTAGCACTGGGGTGGAAAGAGGGACTGGTGGCCGTGGACCTCGATGACTGCCTGGGCCCTACCCGAGAGTCACCAAGGCTGGATCAGAAGAATCCTTGACTCGCCTGTATCTCTTGCCCCGGGTCTAAGAGCGGCTGGAGCTTCCCCTAGTTTACCTGTCACTGAAACCAGGCAAGGGAAGTCTGGCTACAGAGACTCAATCCAGACATACCCCGACAGTGACCTGTGTAAACACACTTGCACATAGCCCAGACGGAGCTCTCATGGCCCTGCAGCTGCTCTGCTTCCTTCAAGGCCAGGCCTGCTGCAGCCAGCCCTAAAAGCAGGTGTCCTTAAGGGAGGGCCTGAAGCCAGCTCTGATTTGGGGGGATATGCACAGAAGGACCACGTAGCCACTCAGCTGTGCTCACCTAACCCCTCTGATCATTGGGGCTTTCCCTCCGGCTGTGGGCTCCTGTTGTCACGTGGGTCCTGCCTCACCAAGACTGAGGGCTGTCTGGGCCAGCCTCCTACCAGGAAAATCAATCACTCTTTATTCAAGCAGATCACCAAAGCTATCCCCTATACTCCCCAAAAGCCTGTTCTGCTCTTCTTTTCCAGACCCTTCCTGGACTCAGCAAGAGGCTGCCTCCCATTTAGCCTTAGAAAAGGGGATGATAACCAGGAGGATGGATGGAGGTCAGACCCAAGAAGCTCCCTCCACAGCCCTGGGTGTGGGGCATCTCCCCACCTTCCCTGATCCCCTTTAGTACTAATATCACACTCTCACTAGTAAAAGGGCTGGGAGAAGCCTAGCAATGGGTGCTTCTGCCCTTTATGAAAATCACTTTAATTTAACCCAGATGGGTCTCCTTGCTGATAACCTCGTGCAACGAGCACCCTGAATTATGCTTTCCGTGTGAACACACTGGGTTATATTTAGCCGCAAATTACGACTATGTTTAACAAGCACCTTTCCTGCACAGGGAGGGGGCTGGGCATCCTCCTGACCCGGTTGGAGGAAACCAGCAACAGAATTTAAACCCCCGTGGGAGGGAGCAGCAGTGGCTGGGGAAGCTGTTTATCTGACCTCAAAGTAGTCTGGGCTGCTCCCCGTGCTTTGTAAAACTTAGAAGCTGGTCCTGAGATCTGTCTATGGCTCTTGTAGGGACAACCTGTGCCTCCCACAGGGGTCCCTGAGGCTTGAGCAGGCTCCTGGCTTGGTTTGGAACTATGAGGGAAATGTCTTGAGAGTCCGGTCAGGGCGCTGGAGAAAGGGAAGACTGCCAGCACCACCAGGACCCCACAATCCTTCCTTCTCTACTGCCGTATTCTGCCCTTACCTGAGTTTCAGCAGACTCCAGATGGGAGGGGCAGGAGCGGAGACTGGGATGCTCCCACAGAGCATCCGTAGCAGTACCACCATACCTCTGTGCCCAGCTAAGAAAATGGGCTATAACCCAAAGTTTTGTTCTTTGGGGAAGCCCCTTTACCTTTGGGATCTGGGGTGCCCTTAATCATTGCTTCCAAACTGGTCTGCAGTTAAAGCTTAAGCCTCAACGACAGCAGACCTAGCAAACAGAAGGTGGTCCATACTCCAGGCATGGAGCACCGAACAGGCACCTTTGGGGGACCCAGGCAGGTTAGGAGCACAGGAGGTGAGGACTCGGCCACATTCAGACATCTCCTCACACTGTTCCCTATAGGACCTCAGCAGTACTTAAGGCTAGAAAGACTCTTCCACAGTAGAGGAAGACCTTCAGGAATGGGGTGGAGGTCCAGGACTTGTTTTTCCAGCCAGGGTGGTACTGGGGGACTTTTTTTTTTTTTTTTTTTAAACTACTCTTAAGAAGGGCATAATTTCCTAATCCCTTAGCTAGCCTTTCAAACACTCAAACACTGATTCTGGAGTAGGGATGGAGTTCAGCTGTCTTCCCACTGAGGAAAGACCAGGTACTATGAACCACCTCAGCCTCTACCTCCTGAACCTGGATTCAGAATGTGTGTGTGTGTGTGTATGTGTACATGTGCATGCAAGTGCTGCCCAGGTACAAACCCCACCTCCAGTCCCCCTCTTCTGATGGGTTCCCTGCCCCTCCAGATGGGGGCCAACAGTGCCCAGGCTCCAGTCTTAGGCCTCTGGACCTGTCCCCTTTGCTTCTGGTGGGAAGAATTAAGAGTCAATTTTTTTGTCATCAAGAAATTGTTTCTAATTTGCCCTTTGACTAATGGCCCAGGGAACAATGGAGAGACACCCAACACACAATTACCCTGCAGCACAGCTCCACTGCTCTCTGGCCCAAGCAGGCATTTATTTAGAGCAGCAACTAATTCACAATTTTATGTAACTCGAGTGACACCCCCCACCCCCTTGTATTAAAAAGTGATTATTTATTCAATGATTTCAGACAGTAGGCTTTCGGTCATCTCCAAGCTGGGAGGCCTAGGCCAGCTGCCAGTCTCCAGCCTTGTGGGGGCAATGGGGAAGGCTGGAGGGGGTTCCAGGGAAGCCATAGGTTTGAGGGTACAGCTGCTGGTTACGGCTGATGAATCTGTACTTGGGAGTGCTTGTACATGTGTGACACACAAGTGCCTTTTAAAAATTACATTTGTGTGTGTGTGTGTGTGTGTGTGTGTGTGTTTAAGTCATGGCATGCATGCGGAGGTTAGCAGACAACTAGAAAGAGTCAGTTCCCCACTTGCACCACGTGGCTATCCAGAGATCTGGGGAATCTAACTCCGGCCAACAGGCTTAGCAGTAAGTGCCTTAGCCTGCTGAGCCATCTTCCCAGCCCAAGGGTCAAACCGTTTTCATACACATGGGGACATGGGAAGTGTAATGTGGGGTTTACATGTGTACCAGTGTGCATTTCCGCTATGGATGTGTTATGTAGAATGTGCCTGCAAATGGAGAACACTCAAAACTGCACAGGCATTGATGTGCGCACATGTATACAACTTGATGAAGTATGTGTCACTGGCCATGCTCAGATGCCAGGGCACAGCTGGCTATGTAGGGGCATCCCCAGGCCAGGGGAAGCCCTGAAGGGTGTCTGCCAGGCAGTGAAGGTGGCTCATGTTCCAGCTAGAAAGGACTGCAGTTCAAGGATGCTTCTGATAGGGCTTCCAGGCCACTGGGCTAAGAACTGGACATCTGTGGTTATAAAACTTCAGGTGGTTGTAGAAGACTTGGACACCCTAGTGTAGTGACTGACCTCCAGCTTGTCACCCTGATTCCTCTCCTCTCTTTGCCCCTTCCTTGTCCTCTTTCTGGAAAGCGTCTGCCGATCCCCACACCATGTTCTTCTAAAATTAAAAACATTTGTTAGCTTCGGACAGCAGGAAGTCAGGAAGGAAACCAAGAAGGTTTCCTCTGAGCAGATTGCAAGCCCAGCCAAACATGCCCTGCCCGCCCTGGAGGCTGAGCCCTGAGAGAGGAACACGGGAGCTTATTTTGGTTTTGTGGAGCTGCCGGGGGCTGTGCGCCCGCGCTGGGCAGCTGCCAGCCGCTGGCCACATCCAGAGGCCCGTCGGCAGCTATTTGCTGTAACAACTATTTTGAAACAGTATTGAGAGTTGGGGGGGGGGGCGGGGGAAGCCACTAGATTTGTTTTAAGTGAAGGAGAGGCCGCTGATGTGGGAGCGTGGTGGCGGGGAGCTAGGGCTGCGCGAGCCGGGCCAGGGGCAGCCTTGGCGCCTTGGCTCAAGGGCAGATCACCCCCCAGCTTTGGGAACCTGGAGATGCGGAGCCACAAGGTTCTAAACCTGCTTGTGGAGGGAAAGGAGCCTCACATCCGAGCGCTACCCAGTGGCCGGGGCACGAGTGTGCCCTTGTGCCAATTTCTAGGACTTTTTAAACATCCTCCACGCTCGAAGGGGAGGCTAGGTTGGAGGCCCAGGGGTCTTTCCAGTCCTCTCCAGTCGACTCCAGTCCACGCACTGTAGTGGGGTGGGGGCTCTGGGCTTTCCAGGCCCGCCCCTCCCCCACTCGGGCCTTCCGGGTTCCTGCGTCGCGCCCGCAGCAGCTCCCAGGGCAACCCTGGTCGCCAAGCTGTTGTCTTTGTTGGATCCAATTATTTTTTTCTCGTGTATATTTTTTTCCTTTTATATACTCTTAAAAAGCTCTAAATAGGACTTTAATAATCACAAAAGATTTCTGGATCGGAAAACAAGATCAAAGGAAGAAAATAATGAGGAACACGGATTGCAAATGAGCGCAGAAAACGTGCAGTTGGCGAGCGGAGCCCTGCACCGAGCCAGGGACACCGGTGGGTGCGCGCGCTCGGGGCTGGCTCTGGTCTAACCTGTGACCTCCCCTTCCCGAAGGCTCGGACCCGCCGGTCTCCTGCCACCCTTCCCGAGAGCGATTTCTCCCGAACCGGGCAGCTTCTCATCCGCGTGCGTGGGAAGCGGGCCGAGTATGCGCGCGCCGACTCTGTGCAGCTCCGTTCTCCCTGCGCAAGGCCGGGCCAGTGATCGCCTTCTGGGCCTCTCGGTGCCACCACGACCCAGTGTCCGCGTCCCTCCTTTGGAGCCTTGGAGTCCGCGCTCGGGGGCCTAATTCAATTGTCCGGGCCTAATGAATAGCCGCGTGCTAATCGGATCTCCGGGTGCTTGGCGAGCTTTACGCTCCATGCTTCTCCTAAAGCCCGTGCACCCCCGCCGGGAGCCAGTGGGGTCCACTCCGGGCCGGGATCCCTAGCCGGCGGGGCAGGCCCACGCGCCTGGTACTGCGCCCCAGCCCGGCCAGCGAAGCCCCGGGCTTACCTGGAGCTCCTCCCGGCCGCACCACCCGAAGCAGGCGCCAGCGGAGGCCCGGTCCCCGGCGGGCGGGAGATCCCGAAGTCCCCGCCCGCGGCCCCCACCCCAGGTCAGCGCGGCCCGCGGGGGGCAAGGCCAGCCCGGCCGTCCGCCCGCCTCCCCTTTCTCTTCAGATTCCTTTGATCCCGGGCTCTCCGCTGCACCTCGGCTCCCGAGCAGCCTGAGTCGGCCCGCGGGGATCCTGGAAACGGTCCCCGGCTTATCTCCTTTCATCAAGCGGCCATGGGCCGCCTTGAAACCGCGGAGCCAGTAATTGCTTTTTTCAGGAGGCCCAGTGCGGACTGGACAACAGCCAATCAGCACCTTGTTTACACTCGATGATTGACAGCCCGCTGGCGGAGTGCCAACCAATCCGGATGGCCCCACAGAAGCGGAGGGTGGGGAGGCCGGGAGAGAGAGGAGCCGGCGGCGCTCGCATTTAACTCCTTTGGGTCCGCGCTGCAAAGACTGGAGAGATTCTAAGGTGTCTGTGTCTGTGGACGATTAGTTTAAATCGTTTTTTTTTTTCTTTTTTGCACACGGGAAAAGAGAAGTAAAAATAACATAGTCATCGCTACTACGTCATCGTCTCTATTTCCTGATAATAAATACCATTTGGGTAGGCAGCCAAATTCTAACCGAAGTATCTGCTTTGCAGAAGACTTTAAAAAGTGGTTTGATTCTGCTGATGAGCAGAATTGTTCAGAGACTGGTTTTCCATTGTAGTGAGAATTTAGCGGGGACGCAGGGGACGCGCGCGGAGACGGGCTTATGCACACGGGTTTTCACGCCATGACAACCATCCCTAAAACGATCAAATAAAGATATTTTTAAAATCTAGGAGATGAAAAAAAGTCATCCTTATCTTAGCAACCGAGCCTCGACTTTCATTTGGATTGTTGCTCGGCTGCACCGAGTGGCAGAGAGAGATAAAAGATGCTGGAGAGGGAGGGCAGGGCCAGGGAGGCCGTTTGGCCCAATCTGCGCTCCTAGGCTCGGGTCCGGGTGGGTGGCAGGGCTGGGCCACCCGGCCTCTGTGCTTGGAGGTTGGGCCTATCTGCACCCAGGTCCCAGGTTTTGGAAAGGACGGTCCTCTTTACCAAGTGTTGCTGTTTCTTCACTTGCATTCTGCGCCAGCAAAAACAAAAAACACCAAGCATCAGATGTGCAGAAATAAGAACAAAAGCAAATAAACAAAAAAAAAAAAAAAAAAAAAAACCCAGGGGGCCCCCCCCCCCCCCGGATGCGGACACGCGCCCTCTCCCGCCCTGCGCCACCACATTTCCATTCAGCAGCAAGGATCTGCGCAAACGAGCTGCGCAGTCGCTGGGCTTGAATTAGGCGCCATCAGGCTTGGTAGTAGCCCTGCTGCTCCCTGATTGGCAGCTCCCTGGCCCCGCGCCAGCCTATTGGGAGGCCTGTTTACGCCGAATGAGTGGCACGAGCTCAGGGCCGTGGAGCTCCGCGCAGCCAATCAGCGCGCGGGCAGCTCCGGGCTGAGTGGCACGAGCTTATTAGTATGCAGGGCCCGTGGCTCGCCGCGCCGGGCTGCAGGTTTGAGAGCCGCTCCGGATGGGCCCGCTAGAGCCGTTGTTGTGGAAGCGGTGCATTTACAGTGCAACAGTCAGCACACTGAAAATACCAATAGGAATCCAAAACAAAGTCACATTTACTGATTTAATTGTATTGCATTCAATTGTATCCAGGAAACAGCCTCCAGTAAGTAACTGAAATTGCTTTTATTTTTAATTTTTTGGGTATTTTTATTATTTTATTATTTTATATTGGCTTTGGGGATTTACATTTTTTAGCAAGAGGAATACAGGGTTGTGATGTTAAGAAATAATAGATCTTCCCTTTAAAAATCCGTTATGATGTTGAAAGGCTTTTAAAAAAAAAGAGAATATATATATAGAGAGAGAGAGTACGATTTTTTTTCCCTCTGAAAAATTTTATCGATCGGTTTAAAATCCCCCCGTAATGCGTCCTTGCTTTGCTCTGAGCGCTCGTTGTCTCGACAGACACCCAGCATTAAAAATAAATAATAGAGACCGGACCGAGACTGCCAGGCTTCGAGCAGCTGGAGCCCCGCGGGTAGCTCGGGGTGGGCAGTCAGCGCGCAGCTCCGGAGGTACCCCAAGTATTCGCGCCCCATCCTGCTCCCCTCCCCCAGCAATCCTGAATGGGCCCCGCCCGGTCGCTCCGCGGCGCAGAGACCGGCCGGCTCCGGGTGGCCACGGCCGCTGCTCGGGGCTTCCCGGGCCTCAGCGAGGGGACCGGGACTTGGAGGGGTGCTGGCGAGGTGTCCAGGTTTCGCTTCGCACAGACTTCATTCTTTCCGAGCATCCGCCCCCCCTCCCCCAGGAGTGAGGGTGGAGGAGGGGGACCGAGCAGCGCGGCGTTTTCACGCGGTGTGTTCTGGTCAGCGCGCGGGCTCGGGCCACGACCCGCGTGGCGTGGTCCGCAGGCGAGTCCATCTCTTGGAACCCGGATCCGGTACCATCCGTTTCTGGTTCCTTTCCGGGATAGGAGGGGGGATGGACTTCGCAGGGAGCGGGTTCTGTAGCGGGAGCCCGAGCCTCCCGTGCCCGGTGCGCGCCTGGCTGCGGCCTGGCTGGCAGGCCCCACTGCGTTCACTCGCGTGCGGGACCCGGCGGGAGGGAGGTGGACGGACCCCGGAGCTGGTCCTCAGCGGGAGGCCGAAGGCAGACAAGGTTTTAAAGGCTGAAGTCGCAAACAAAGCAAACCTGAAGCCCGGGGTACCGGAGCGCGAGTCTTGCTGCCCGCCGCAGGCGCAGAGGAGCCGCGACTCCGGGGGTCACGCCCTGCCACTCGGGGAAGGTTTTCCGGGGATCGGTTTGGTTTCTAGTGCCCTCGTCAGCGATTCCCCCGGCCGGCTCGGGGCCTTCTGCCCGCCGCCACTTTGTCCCTCCCTGGTCCATCCCTGCCCGGGCCTACAGCTTGGTCCTCCGGGTCCGGTGTGGCGGCCTGTTTTGGGATTGGGGGGGGGGGACGGACCTCGGAGCCTCGGGACTCGGCGGGGGGCGGCACCGCAGCTCCCGGGCCCGCCTCGGTCTGCACCCACCGCTGTGCCCTCCTAGTTGGATACGCAGCCGGTTCCCCAGGCCCCGCGCGCGGGCAGGCGAGGGCGGCATGGCCACTCTCCCGCAGGAGAGGACACAAAGAAAAGTCCCCTCCAGTCCCGCAAGAAGCGCAGCGGCAAGTACCGGCGACACAATCCACGCCTTGTTTGCGTAAAAAGTCTAGCGGGCTGGTGAGGAAGGCGCAAAGGAGCCAGCCATCGACCCGCAGGGGGATACAAGAGTAAAAGTGGTGCATGATCTCAGCCCGCGTCCGGAGAATCGCCGGCAGCTCCCATTTTCGCTCTAACTTTGAAATGTCTTAACTGGGGGTGGGGGCGCAGAACAAAAGCCCGGCACGCATGACTCCCCGGAGGCCCTCGGGAAGTCTTGTACCGCGCGCTCAGCCTCCGACCCCACTCCGGCCCTCGGTGTCTTTGAAGCCGCAGGTTCCTGACCTCCCTCCTCTTCCTTCTTTCCCTTTGTCCTGCCCGCCGCCCTCCGGGGTTCGAGAGGCGCGGGCCTGAGTAGGTAGGGGCGCGGGAGTCCCTCCCCGGCCCCAGGCAGCCCCTCCCCTGACCCCGGCGCAGGCAGAGCCTCAACCCTGTGCTTTCCGCGCCCTGGCGGTCGCTGGGCTGGCCCGCGCCTCGGCGAGGCGAGTTATTTGTTGGATCCGGGGAGAGAGAAGATCCCCAGAGGGAAGGGAGCCCCAAACCCTATTGTATGCGTTTGAAAACAAAGAGAAATCTTTGTATAGTTCCGTTTATTTACAATGCAAAAGCTCTCCGAATAAATATTAAAAAAGCTTATCAGCTGAGCAAATATGTATTCACTTAATACATTGTTTTCGGTTATAGATTAAATCAGACACAAAATCGTGTGCAAATACGGTGGTGTAGAACCCAGTGCATAAAATAATGTCAATTTAAAATGGAATTTACGAAATAGAAAACATCTCAATCGCTTTGTTGTCATGGTGGAATAGTTAAAAAAACAACAACAAAAAAAAACCCCTGAAATTTTCTGCAAAGTTCACAATTAAGAATACCTCCCTTCTAATGGAGCTGATTCCAAACATTAAAACAATGCGTGTTTGAGAAATAAGAGTTCGAAATGAAGGGGGCCGAAAATCTTTGGTCGCACGTGCATGGTGTGATGTACAGTTTACGTCGCTTGCTCCATTCCTCCTTCGAGTTAGAAATTGTCTCCTATTTCGCCTGACATTCCTCGGTGGGTGGGGAAAAAAAAAAGGTGGGGGGAAGGGTCATTTTTAGCCGGCCCTGCCAGAAACAGAGATGGACGATGGAAAACCAGGGTCCGCTGGGATCTCCAGGCGCAGGAGAAGGTTGCGCTGAACCGGGTCCATCCTCTTTCCCTGCAGGGTCGACCTGGGTGCCACGCGGAGACCAGCCTGGGTTGGGTGATCCGTGGCAGGCGCCGAATGGAGAAAAGTGCCGATTTGGGAGGCCGAGAGACAACAATTTCTGACTCTCTGAGCCCCCTCCCCCCCAAAGCCCCCAATCCGCAGAGGAAGATCCTGGGCGAATTTGATTGGGGGGCGGGGTGATTGTTCCAGCCTCACCAGGAAGCTCCGGGCTCGGGGACAGTAGGCCGGGCACTGCGACGTAGTGGCCCAGGTGATGCCGGTGGCAGCCTCGGGGCGCCCGGGGCTCCGGAGAGCCGGCTTGGGGTTGTGGCACAATGCTAGGGGGAGGGGGCAGGTCCCGTTGGGGCTGGATGGGGAGGTGGACGACAAATTCAAAAGAATGGACTGAAAGACGCATGGGGGGATGGGAGAGGGGAGAAAAGGAAGGTTATTAAAAAAAAAAAAACAACTCTTGAGTTACAATCAATAAAATTACTCGCTTAATTAGCATGGTTATTCGGTTAAGCGGAATGCAGTAAAAGCCGGACCTCAGAAAGACCCGGGAGAGGAAAAAAGAGAGCATGGACCCCAGGCCTTTTCCTCTGAGACACCTTTAAAAAAAAGGTGAGGGGAGAGGGTGTGCGTGTGAGTGTGTGTGTGTGTGTGTGTGTGTGTGTGCGCGCGCGAGTGTGCGTGATGGCTTCCCAGATT